TTAGAATAAAGTATTCGTATTTTATTGTCACCTATGATTAATATACTATAGAGCAGTGTTCCCCAACCCCCGGTCCTCGGACCGGTACTGGTCCGTGGATCAAATGATACCGGGCAGCCTATTTCATTGAAACTGAATTTAAATCCCTAGGTTTATACCCCTAATTAAAAATATCTGTGTTCCATTAAAATTTTATTTATTTAAAATAAAATAGGCCCCCCCGAAGGTAGTGACATAAATTTTTTAATGTTTGTAATGTATCATTGTCTCCGATTAACCCCAGATGGAACCGTCTCATTGCAAAGAAACAATCTCAGGATTCTCATAGTTTTAACGTTCTAGTGAGTTAAAATGTTAAATCACTTTATATTTATTTTTTGGTGTAACTGTATTTTATTTTGAAGACATGTTTAAATACAATTAAATTAAAATTAATAAATCAAAATAATCTAAAATATAAACAATAAATCCCTCCTCCCCCCCCAGCGGGTCACGGTAAAATTATCAAACGTTGACAGGTCCGCGGTGATAAAAAGGTTGGGGAACACTGCTATAGAGAACACAAATATGTTACTTCTTTAAGATAAAGAATAAATAATTTAAATTACCAGTTTTTAAATTTAAAAAAAAATTTCCTATGAGAACATTTCTATAAGCAAATTATATTACTTGTCACCTGCTTTTGCTACTAAGTTTGAGTGATGATTGTTGCAGGATAAGTTATTATTGTTGTAGGATAAATTATATAAATCAGAATATAACTTTTAAAATAAAAAAAATTGGTAGCTGTTTCTTGTCTGAAGAACTAATTTTTGTTTTTTTACTCAGGATTACAGAAGTATCAAAATAACCTGCTTTTATAAATATTTAGTTTTACATAAAGGCTAATTATTCTGAAAGTGTCAAAGAACGTAAGGATAAATAAAGAAGGGCTTAAAATTGAAACTGTGAATGAGGAAATATTTGTTAAAAGACATCCTGCCTAAGATAGGGAGGGTGTCGTTAAAATATCATCACGATCTCGTCTGCATGTCCCATTAACAAAAGAATGTCGTCATCAAAATGCACTTAAACAATTCAAAAACAATAAGTTTTCACGAGAATCATAAGTACAAAATCATCATTATTAAGAGTTAACAGTTTCTAAAATAAGAGTTATGTAAGTATAGAATCACCGTTATTAAGAGTAACAGTTTATAAAGAAAGAATTATACAAGTATAGTATCAGCGTAATCAAAAGATTAACAGTTTCTAAAATAAGAGTTATCCAAGTATAGAATCACCGTTATTAAGAGTAACAGTTTATAAAGAAAGAATTATACAAGTATAGTATCAGCGAAATCAAAAGATTAACAGTTTCTAAAATAAGAGTTATACAAGTAGAGAATCACCATTATAAGAGTAAACAGTTTATAACGAAAGAGTTATTATATTAATATTAGGTTTTTTAAAGAGAATTTTTTAAATTATACAATCATATATCTGCAGCTTAAATGAGGTTAAAGAATACTTTATGTCTTTTTAAACTATTTTTGATTCACTTTTTTGACCAACGATAGAGTTGTGATATTATTATTATTGTTATACAATGTGCAAAATACAAATCGGGAAATCAAAATAACTTTTGATTTAATAATTCGATTTTCATGTATTCGATGCAATCCTAATGGTTTAAATGTTTGATTTCGAATATACTAATTAAGGCAGATGTTACATAACCAAACATCAGAGAAAAACGTGCATTCTTTGAATAAGCAAGTCTTTTTCGATCTTAAAAAATCTGTAAGGTAATCGCAATCAGAAAAAAAGGTCCAATAGATTATTCAAGGGAGTGGTCAAAAGTTTGAGCCCCATAATTTTACTTTTTGCATATATCACCATGTCTCTGAAACTATTAAAGCAAGTCACGATTATAAATACGTTTGTACGAAAATGTTAAGCAAAATATTAACGTTTATGTAATTATTAATTATTGCTTAATTTACGAAATATTATAATACAAATAAAAACTTAAAAATACGATTTGTTTTTGGGTTTTATTTATTCGGCGCATTTCGTTAAATTTACAATTCGTTATTTGAAATTACATCATTTAAGAAGATTAAGAAACTTGTACATCTTACTATTTAGAATTTTTCGTTTTGTCTATTCTGCGACAAATGTGAAGGGTATTGAGTAATCTAAACTGATTAAACAGTGTTATAAACTAAGTCTGGTATGCTGAAAAGGAGAAATGATGAATGGGGTGCCTCGGGATAGTGGAGTCAGTGTTGTTCAGCCGAAAAACATAAAAATCCAAGTGTGGAATTTATTATATCCATATTATATTTAATTTCACTAAATTGGTTGCTATCAATAAATAATATCCTCTTATTTAAAATACATACAGAGGCACTATCATTTTATTTTAATAAACTTGAATGCTAAATTCAAGACGAAACATAAATGAAAAACGAGAAGCGAACTCTTTGCCAATCACTAAATGAGCAACAAATGAAAAAAAAAACTTTTCTGAAATCTCATTTCGTATCTGTCACTCAACACGTACAAAATCCTACTGTTTCTGGGGATAGATCGTAAATGCGGTTATCAGATAGTGCAATCAAGACATTTTACTTCATAACCGTCGTTGAATAACCGACCCAACGTTTGGGTTTACGACAGATAATGTTCAACTCCGCAGCCTTGTCATTTTGAAACCAATCCAAAAGACAAGGGAACTTCTAGATCAAATAGTGGGAGAAATGTACCTTCGTAGAGGACTTTATGATGAAACTCACCCGCATTTGTGTTACATGGCGAGGAAGACCCCCCACGGTTAGCCTCCCGGCAAGTGGACTCTAACCCATGATCTGTCTACCACTGAGGATATTTTACGTCAGCACTGTGGTCGGTGCGAGCCGGGTGCGGAATTTGAATCAACCAACCATTGCTGGGATTCACACCCGGTTCGCTTCATCAGGAGGCGAGCGCTCTATCCCCTGAGCCACCACGGCTCAATCAAGTCATTTGTATCTATCCTAATACAAGGGTTGTCCTTTAAGTTGAGATAGGGCATATCAAAACAATGGAGAATCGAATCATGTCCTGTAACGTCATTGCGTCCCACGCGAAGCGTCTCCCAAGTTATGAGCTAATTGTTCTTACGCATATGAAATCGTACTTTTAATAGCTAAATTGTCTTAGTTTTGTGATAAAATAACTTTTTCCTAGACAAAATTTGCCTCCATATTGATCCAGTAGTAGCTGTTTCCTCCTAATTATATAGTTTGGTGTCCAACTTGGCAAGCTTAACAAGTTAGTCGCTAACTCATTAAATTAAGTAAAATAGCTTTTTCTGTGCCTCGGGGAAAGCAAGACAGAAAAGAATAAAAGGTGGTAGTAAAGTCATTTCAGTCATAGCTAGCTTTGGGGAGGATTAAATTTATTCTTTATGCCACCTTGTGTTCGTGAAAACGGGAGTTCGAATCCAGCCGGCAGCCGAAAAAATCTCGCTTGACTGTTGCACGTTAAATCTGTCGAGGTTACAAAATGCTCCAAGTTTCCATAACAAAACAATACCTCTGGCGGTACTGGACTGGAGATGGATCGTTCTCTGGTTCAGCTCAAAATTACGATTTGTGGATGCATGAATGGGTCCGCTCTGTAAAACGTGCTGAGACATGTGTGTATGGCTGAAATCGTATTCTTGGCCATAGATGGCACCACTGAGAAACAAGAAGAAGCGCACCCCTCTACCTTAAATTCGCTTGGTTTCCCCTATAGGCTTGCTGGCATTAACAAATAGTAATCGAAACAACAAAACGAAAAACGAACACATTTATAACAAGCTCCCCTTTAACATGAACATGGATTTAACGAACAAATCGAAAATATTTTGTTGGTATAATGTTAAGTCTTTAGGAGCAAAGCTTTAACGAGCAAACCCCGTTTTTAACGAGCAATATATTTGCGATATATGAAATTTCTACATACTTCCGCTTCACCCAGATTAGCTGCACTTTACTCGAAAAAAGTTTTTTTTTTTTTTTGACATTCCGAATAAGTTATTATGAGTCATCAATTCAGCAAAAGAGTGAAATTTTTACGAAAGCGAAATGGGTGATGTTTTATGGCTATGAGTTTTATCCGAAAAACAATAACGCAACAAAGAGATAATAAGAAATTTAAAACAAAATAATAACTAACTCATTTTGTGATGTACGGAAAGAAGAAATAAATTAAGTACTAGTAATTTAGTAAATAAGCATAAACTTTTGCAAATTTTTTCACGAACACGTTTTATACGAGCAGTCGGTTATAACGAGGAAATAGTGCGGTCCCTTCAAGCTCGTTATAAGCGAGTTCGACTGCATTGATGATTAGTGTATAAATTAGAATAGTAAAACCTTATTTTACTCCTCGTAAAATCCAGCTGCCTTTTGTTTCCAGTTTCTCTTCTTTTTTACGTCTTACTTTCAGCCCTGTTCTGCAGCAGAAGCCAAGTATAGTCAGACCGGCCCTCCTTCTGATATCCCCCCCTGTTTGGGATCTCTTGCAAATTAAGATAATCATTCTATGTTGTTGTTGACGTATGCCTGTTTAGGCAGAGGTGCGATTGTTCTTGTTTTCCAGTGGCGCCATCTATGGCCAAGAATTCGACTTCTGCCGCACCATACGTCACACCTGTTTATAGGGTGGACCCATTCATGCATCCATTCATTCATCCACAGATCGTAATTTTGACCAGAATCAGAGAACGATCCATCTCCAATCCAGTACCCCCCGAGGTATTGATTTGTTATGGGAATATGAAGAACTTTTGCGACTCGACAGATTTAACGTGCATCAGTCACTTTACTACACGGGAAGTCTTCGGCCGGCGGGGTTCGAACCCACGAACTCTCGGACATGGGCCCAGCATCCTAAATCATTCCCATCAAAACGAATAATGTTTATCTTTTCACACCTTGTTGTTTTCCATATTAGATTTTTAAGATTCCTTTTCTCTCTCTGTGTAGGTTGTGTCAGTAGTGGAGCTTTGCATGTCAGACCCAGGTCGCAATGGTTCAAATGAGACCTATTCCGTGAAGGAATTTTGCGAACAAATGACCCACGTACCAGAATGGGTCGCAAAACACACAGCGCCACCCCAACAACTGACTAAGGTAAGTAAACATCTCTTGTGGAGTGTTCTTAAATTGTTTAGGCACTGCTATTGTTTTACGCGTTTCAATGTTATATTGCGGTTCGTTGAGCATTGCGCTACTATTACGCTTATTAAGTCACGGTGGCTCATTGGTTAAAAAGCCCTGAGCTCTCATTGTGAAGGACTGGGGAACGACCCTCAGTGGCGGCTTGAAGCCCACCCAACTTCAGATTGGCAGTTACCAATTAGTTTGGGAACTCCACGTAAAGCATTAAAGAAACTTGAGTGTAATGCTGAACACTATACCGTAATCATGCCGTTGATTAAAGAATTATGGAGCCTTGACCTCCATGGTCAACAACGGGCTGTTGCGGGAGCGCCAATTTATTTATATTGTATCCGTTATGTTTATTCCACTGTTTAGAATGTATAATTATTTTTAATTGATTCTTTTCTGAAATTTTTTTTATGGAGGTTGAGACTATGCTGTTCTTAAATTTGACTGTTTAGAATGCTTCTTTCATTGCCAATCTAAATAGTGCCAAAGAAGTGGAAAAATATTTGAGGCCTTTAAGTCTGAGTTGCTGTTATCAAGCACTGTTAATTAACTCTAAGGAGTAATGACTTGCTATTTATTAACAGAAAATTATTTCATTACTATTTTCTGATTATTTGAAAGCACTAAAAAAGTGAACATAAATTATTCCCAGTTGTAGACGGATTGTGAAATAGAATATTATTGCAGTCAGGCTGATCGGGGTTGATTTCCGATGTATTTTTATGGTAAGTTCAGGTTTGATTAAATTAAATAAATAAAATTAATTAATTAAAAAAAGAATTTAAGAAGAAAAAGGAAAAAGTCTTCCTTGTAGGAGAATTAGTCCTGATATTTGACTAAATAGTTCTCTAAGTTTGATCCAAAGTTAGAAGAATGTGGAGATGGACACTATCTATTATCACCTGAATAAATTCACATATCAGTCAAATCACCTAAGTGCACAGTTTCAATTGTTAAAGCTGTTTTTTTAAGGCTCCCTCGTAATATGAAATGATGCTTTTTTGCAAAAAAAATATGCTATTTTTATAACTGCTGTGAGTTTATAACTGTTACTCATGACTGCTAGGTTGAGTTTAGTCCATCTATCAACGTCTACGCTTATTTTGAAAATGGCGCGAAACATCAATATGCAGAAAAGCCACAGTTTTGTGAAAATAAAAAAAGTTCGGTTTTTTTTTTTTTTTTTTTTTAAGATTTAAGAACTTACTCCAATGCTGCATTACCTGGTCTCGTAAAAATTTGCAAAAACTGAAAATAAGGCTGTGATTTTGATAACTTACATTTGAATGGAAAAATGTCATCAAATTGGCGATTTTTTTTTTTTTTAATGAATAACCTTTAAAAAGCCTTAACCTTTTTTTTTTTTTTTTTTTATTTTTTTTTTTTAANTTTCCCGCCATTTTTTTTTTTTTAATTTTTTTTTTCCTTGGTGAGAGAGCCCCGAGAAACATCGTTAAGTTAAATACTAGATTGAATACACTAAATATTATTTTGTGATTCTAAAATATTTTATTTAAAACCACAATGTTTTGTAATTTCATAAATTTGTGGAATTTGTTTTATAAAATCTAATAAATATCACACTACCCCAACAGTTTTCTGAATATAATATAAAATTTAATCAAAATAATAGTTACGAAACGATTGTTTACTGTCTTTAATCAAAATAACTTAAGCAGTGCAGTTTGTTTGAAGTACTCACTCATAACTGCAAACCTTTCCTACGGAGCAATTTCCGCCTCGAGGCATGATGGGACTGATGCAAACGACATTTTTAATCCCAAAGAACGACAGAACGAATTGAGAAATCAAGATGTACTTAACGTTTTTTTTTTTGTTTTGCTTTTGGCAACCCTAAATTAAGGTGAAAGTGATGAATTCCATGAAAGTGAAAGTGGTTAGGGGGAAATGACCGATGAAGTAAAAAAGGATGTCAAAAGGTACGGGAAATACCCACCTTGCAAGAGGGCGCTTTAGACATACCGCAAATAGATCACAGTATGGGGGCCAATGAAAGGGGAAATAATTCAATTATTGACCTAATTTGTGATTAAAGTAACGCTCCAACAATCCCAACTGTGCCTCTCTTCCCAGAATTACATGACGAAATAGGTATTTCCTTTCCAAATCTATATAATTTACTTCCCTATATGCTGTTAGAGAAAGTTGTTACATTTTTCTTTATCTCTATTTATTAAAAACCCTTATAAGACGTACCCTATTTTGGGTGTTCAACTTTAAGTTTTATTTATTTATTTATTTTGTAGCGTAAAAACCGTTAGGTTTAGAAACTTGAAATTACGAAGATGTTTAGAAAACATGGGGCATGATGAAATAAAAAAATTACATGCGACAAACAATTCGAAAATATTAACTGTTAAACAAGTACTAAAAATTACTACTAAAAATTACTTCTAAAAATAATTTTATTTGATAATCATGCTTGAACAGTGGAACCAATTTTGAGTTTACGACTACCAATGTTCAATTCCGTGACCTTGTAATTTTGGACCCAATCCAGAAGACCAAGGAACTCCTGGTTCAAGTATTGGGGAAATTTGCCTTCGTGGAGAGCTTTTTGATGGAACTAATCCGCATTTGCGTTACATGGAGAGGAAAGCCACAAAGACCTCCTACGCTTACTCTGAAAGCAAGGAGACTCTAACCCATGATCCGTCTACCACTGAGGATATTTTACATCAGCACTGTCGCCGGTGCGAGCTGGGGGCGAAATTCAAATTGACCAATTATCGGTGGGATTCGAACCAGGGACACCTCATTGGGAGAGAGCCCTCTATTCGCTGAGCCACCTCCGTTCTGTCAAAATAATTGAAATAATTTTAAGACTAAAAAAAAAAAATTGTCCGAGAAATACAATTTCTTAAAGAGTGTTACTTATAACCTTCTTCCTCTATGATCCTCAATTATTTTTAAATTATGTACGTTGTGGTGAAATATTTTAAATAATATTGACATGAATTTTCCATTATAGGTGATGGGATTGGCTGCCTTGGGCAGGATGGCCTGTGTATTAGGCGAGGTACAACGTCCATTGCCTATGTGGCAGGCTGCTTTTGCTGTAAGTAATGCTTCATTTTTTTAGCTATTTTTTTTTTAAATTTCAACAAAATAAAGTATAGTAACCGCTTAGGGATAGTGTTTATTTCTTTATGATACTAGTAAATTTCTCCCCATCTCCGTTACCAAACCCCTTGGTTGATTCGAAAAATATATGCATAGATGATGCCAGCGAACCAACTACTTCGCATTTTGCAAATAGAGTGGTAGACATATAAAAATCAAAATTTTCAGAATTTTTGGTGGTAATTTTACGAATATTTTACAATCCTCACCATGAGAGAACTGGTACAAAACAGGCTTTGCATATAAACTTTTAAATCATTTATATGTAGTAATGTAGAAAATAAGTTTAAATGAATTTTTAAAAAAAATACATTAAAACATAAACTTAGCTACCACTATAAACTTTTGAAAAATGCGTAGAAAGTTGGCAGTTCTGTATACATCCTTTTCATTGATGGGAATAAATCGCAACTCTAAGAAAAAATTTTTTGTAGAGTAATTAAATTTCGGCAATGGGTTTATCTGAGTAACATTGATTAAAGTTTCAAGATCATTCATTGCACTGTACATACGTTGTGTCATTTTGTGGGATGGAGTTCCACGCCTGTTGCAGTTGGCCTGTCAATACGGGGATAGTTAATGTTGGATGTGGATGATGCTGAAGTTGTCTTCCAGTGATGTCCCGTACGTGCTCGATGGGTGAAAGATGTGGTGATGTAGCAGACCAAGGCAATATGTCGACATTCATGTTGGGTTACAACAGCATTATGGGGGAGACTGTTATGCTGTTGAAAATGCCCCCTGAAATGCTGCTCATGAATGGCAACAAAACATTTTGAATCACTAGCTTGACGTACAAATTTGCAATGAAGGTGCGTGAAATAACTACGAGAGTGCTCCCCACACCATAGCTGCAGGTGTAGGTCCAGTATATCTAAGCAGTAAGCAGGTCGGTAGCAGGCTTTCCCCTGGCGTTCTTCTAACCAATATACGGCTATCGCTGGCACCAAGGCAGAACCGACTTTCATCAGAAAACACAATAGATCTCCACTCTGTCCTCCAGTAAGTTCTAACTCGACACCACTCACGTCTGAAGTGGTTTGGAGTGAGTGGAATGAAAGCTACATGGAGTCTCACTCGTAGCTGTACTTGAGTAAAACAACTGTACTGCACTGTTGAGCTGTACTGCAGTAAAACAACGAACTGTTACAAATCGGCTACAAAAGTAGCCGATTTGTAACAGTTCGTTGTTTTACTGCAGTGCCAACAGCAGCTCAAATTTCTGATGTAGATGTAGTACGGTGCGCCAGCCTGCGATCTTCCTTCTGAGTAGTGCCGCGTGGCCGCCCAGAACACGGTCTTCTTGAAGCAGTTCTTCCCTTGACCACGAATATTTTACAATNTGTGTCATTTTGTGGGATGGAGTTCCACGCCTGTTGCAGTTGGCCTGTCAATACGGGGATAGTTAATGTTGGATGATGCTGAAGTTGTCTTCCAGTGATGTCCCGTACTTGCTCGATGGGTGAAAGATGTGGTGATGTAGCAGACTAAGGCAACATGTCGACATTCATGTTGGGTTACAACAGCATTATGGGGGAGACTGTTATGCTGTTGAATCACTCACACCACTCAGTGGTTTTGAGTGAGTGGAACGGCGTCTCCCTGGGAGCTGTACTTGAAGTAGCCGATTTGTGACAGTTCGTTGTGTCACTGCAGTGCCAACTGCAGCTCGAATTTCGCAGATGCAGCATGGTGCACCAGACCTACACTGCGGTCTTCCCTCTGAGTAGTGCCGCGTGGCCGCCCAGAACACGGTCTTCTTGAAGCAGTTCTTCCCTTGACCACTACTGCCAACAATCATGCACAGTGGATACATTTCTCCCCACCCAGTCTTTCTGCAATATCGCAGAAAGAAAATCCTCCTTCTCGCTACTCTATTACAAGACCACGTTCAAAGTCAGTGAGCTGTCGATAATGGCTTCTTTGTCTTCCTAAAGGCATTGTTGACTAACAGCAACTCACTGTGACAAAATTTAGCGAAATATGACGCTTTCATACTGTAGAACACGTATTTAAAAAAGGAACCCTGATTTGCATAATCACAGTGGCGCTACTAGTGCCAACCACAATAAACAAGCCTACCAAATTTAGTTTATCTAGCACAACTTCTTGGTGTTGGGATTTTTTCCCCTGTCTGTGTACAGCACAATAAAGAAAAAAAGAGACTAAAAGAAAAGGGAGATTAGCGCAGATGATTAAGAAAAATTATATATACATATTTTTTTTACTGTCCGCAATATAACCATAATATATTTGCTGTATACCATAATATATTTGATGTATACCATAATATATTTGCTGTAACCTATTATATTTTTCATCCTTTTTACGTAGAAATGTTTCGAGAATTATCAGTCTCCAACACTATACTTAAAAGACAGGTAAGTTCATTCCTCATTTTATAGGACGCCATATAACGACGGAAATTTTTAATGGCAAATTCTATTTCACCTCCATTGATGGCAGTATTAAGCAGTGGGAAAGTAATCATTCAATAATTTGTTTGAGCCATGTTGGCTCAAAGGATAGAACACACCTTTGAGATTGACCCGGGTTCGAATCACAGCGATGGCTGGTCGATACGAATTCCACACCCAACTGGAACTGTCCACATTGCTGACGTAAAATATTTTCAGTGGTTGATGGGTCATGGGTTAGCGTCCCCTTGCCGCAAGGCTAATTGAGAGAGATTTTTGTGGTTTTCATCTCCATGTAACGCAAATACGTGTTAGTTCCATCAAATCACCACCGCGAAGGCTAAGTTCTCCCAATACTTGATATAGGAGTTCCCTTGTCTTCTGGATTGGGTTCAAAATTACAAGGCTACGGAGTTGAACATTGACAGTCGTGAACTCAAAACTGGGTCGGCTGTTCAACGACGGTTATTAAATAAAATAAAATAGGAAAATACAGACACTTTTTGATACAGATACTTTTTTGATTTGATAACATTAGTTAAAATTTTTTGCAAAAGAAAACTAAATTTAACTAAAAAAAATATTTAAAAAGAGTAAGAGAAAAAAAATTTATCACCGAAAGGCAATGTGGTTGTCGTCTAATTTCTTTTACCCTCTTTATTTGTGATATTCCCCTAAATTAGCGTTGAAAACGATCCGGTTTGAACTGTAGGTTAGAATTTCTGATTCTTAATTAAAGCAATAAAAACAAAAATATCGTTCAAATGATGAAATTCTCTTTTATTCACAACTCAAGAAGTATGTATGGAATCTCTCTAGTCCCCTATCTCAAAAATAAACTCACCAACTTAGTGCATAACAAAATAAAAAAAAAGAATTCTAAAAACATTATCAAACAGCAGCGGTCTCCATAGTAATGCATGCAATGATGACGCATGCACACTGTTTACTTTTTTTACTCTTGAACACAGTTGAAAAGTGTGATGACGTCCAAATAAATAAGCACGCCATCAAACCCAAAACAACACCCAATTTTCCAATGGGTAAGAAATTCTTTCGTTTTGATATTTTGAAAACATTTAGTCAGCATTTAATATTTAATGACATACTCTAGCCTTACTTGAACTTCTATACTTTAAATTAGACTTATGTAGGTGAAAGTAAATTTGCCATTAAGGATTTCTAAAGTGGTATAGCGTCCCCCTAAATTAATTAAGCAAATTTTCTAAATAATAACGAGCATATATATTCATGTATTGCAGCACAAGGAACAGAAATGAGAACACACTAATTGAAGATCCAGAATGATGATTTGCTTCTGAAGATATTCCCAGAGGAATTTTTTCTTGACTATAATTGTGATATTGACAGGCAAATGCCATTTTAATTTTATTCATACATCATACAAGGACATTGCCATCACTTTTATTTGCCATCCTTTTGCATTATCGTCCAGTTTGTGATTGTGTTTAAGCATTAGAATAGAACAGGATTTATCCAATTAGATATTATCCAAAAGCGAGAATGAACTAAGCAACTGTCAGGTTAATTCGTTACATCCTTTGAAAATATTACTTTCTGCACGTTTTCCCATTGATGACACATCCGACTAAATTTTATTTTTAACAAAAGATCATCGAAATTTGAATTAATAATAATAGTGCAATGTTTCTGGATGGTGTTTTCTACACTAGGGAGCGCTGCAAGCTCTTGACTACCTGTATTTCCACTTTAGTATTTTTGGTGTATTTTGAAGCCACAACGTGATCATTGTGTTTTGAGACCCTGCTGAGTAGTATTTCTTGTATACGTGTGTTTGTTACCTGATTTATTATTTGTGTTTATAAGAAGAATCGTGTTATAAGAATTGTCATTTGAAGACCTGTCATTTCAAGATGTAAGAATCGTCATTTGAAAAAAGAATCGTTGTAAAACACTTCTTACCTTATTAACAATATACCAACTTCGAAATTTAAATCAAAATGATAATTTGTTAAATGAACTTCATCTCACGACTCGAACAATACTCGAACAAGTAAAAAGAATTGATTATCAGGAAAAACATTTTTTTTAATACATAAGCCACAAATCCCTTGATCGCAGGAAGAAAAAAAAATGCTAAAAAAACTTAAAAATTTAAATCATGTTCAGGTAAATATTTAGTACCATTTTTTTCTGAAAAATAAGTTTTGGAATAAAAAAGATTATGTGTTGATTTCCAATGTAGAAACCAAACCAAATCATTGCTTGCATCAATATTTAAAATGAGAACGACTGGTAACTGCGTTATTTCATTTTTAACATTTAGCGTGAAAAGATAAAGACATTCCTGTAAATCTGAGTATATTAGATTAGAATATTTATATTTCATCCTGAAATTACGGGAATTCGTCCCGCAGTGGACTGATCGTTAAGACACGGTTCCCAGCAGATCACCGAAGTCAAGCATCACTGGCTACGGTCAGTGTACGGGTGGGTGACCACTTGGATCATTCTGCGTAGGGACCGAGGGTGTGCGGTATTGGTCCTCGTTAAACTGTGCTATCGTAAAGTGCTCGACTTCGCTTGCAGGTCGTTGGGCTACCGAAGCAGGGGTGCCATCCTCTCTGCTGAGGATCAAAATTGCAATGGCATGTCTTCGGATCATCCTCCGGGATGTTTCCCAGACCGTCGCCAATAGCCCATTGTGCAGTTCTAGTGCGACGTAAATGAACTACAACAACAACGGGAATGCATTGTGTTTTATGACTAAAGTGGTATCCAGCAGTAGAAGTTATCAACTTAATTGATTTACGAATTTCCTACTCATTTTATTTTTTTACAAAATTGCTATTTACATTGCTAAGAATATTGCGTTTACGAAATGTCTTAACTCTCAACCACCGCTTACCTAACATTCTTTTTAAACGCGAGTCGTTGCTGAGCACACAAGTTAAACTGTCTAAAATTTATTAATTTAGCGGCATAATTATGGAATTATTAATTGCTGATTAATATGAACTATCATAGTTTTGTGGCTTAATTGAATAAATTAGAGATTAATATTAATTATTTTACCTTTTTAAGAGTGTTTTTCTAAGATCATCTGACAAGGAAAAAAAATCATTTATACGATACATACCAACTCAGAAGTGTTAATTGTGGGTTTAAAACCGACAAACATTTTTAATATTTCAAAACTTATTGGGTACCTGCAATTGGAGCAGAAAAAGACCGCTGCAATCAACTTGTTGAGTAGGAACAAGATGTAACGTTAACAAGTGTGTTAACGTAACGTTACATCTGTTAGGCTTGGTTTATTGTAGGCTTCTTAATAGAACAGTTAATAACATAAACAAATGATGCGATTCAGCGGCCAATCAGGTTCGACTCCCACGCGTGACGTCGCTTACAGGTACCCAATCGTTTCGAAGCGGATGTGTCAGGCAGACGATCTTTTAGTGAATCAGGTTCTATAATCAAGCTTGACGTTGGTTTCAGGTACCCAATTTTAAATACTCTCATTTGATGAGATGTTTTCGGCGAGAAAAAGAAGTCATTAAATTCACTAAATAATTCTAAATTATTGCATATTTTATGAACTCTAAGATTGCGCTGTTGGAGTAACTTTAAATATTGAAAAATTAGACACCAAGCGATTTTTATTTTAACGAGTTTTAATGGCTTTGTTTTCATAATGTCATTTTGTGCCATTTTCATTATCAGTACAGAGGCTTCCCTAATTATAGATGGACAAAAATTAACTTAATAGTCGTGATATACTATACGAATTCGCAACAGATATAAAAATAGCTTATTATTCCCTAAAAAGAGCTAATTTGATGTGAGAATAGAATCTTCGTAGAACAGCCTAAATGGCATAATTTACTGCATTAGTTAGAGATCAATATTGTCTTTCTTCTATAATTTAGAGGCGTATTTAATGTTTTAGTAAGTAATCAACATTATTTATTTGATTACCAATTGGTACTTAATAGTATAATGAATACCTTTTGCATAATTTTACGACGCCTAAGTAATAATAAAAGAAGGGCATTCTTACTTGTTCACATAAATATTAATAAAAACAATGTTTGAAATAAACTTACAAGCAAGCAAGTTCTTATGTTGATGCAAAAAAAAAATTTAATTACCGATTAATAATTTTAGAAATTCTTGTGCAGTTTTGTGGTGCATAGTATTTTCAAATGAAGACAGAGCATACTACCGACTACGTGAATAAAACATAGATACAGACACATAATAATTTCGGTACTGTAAACAAGAACATTTCTCCGTGTTGAAACTCAAAATGTCAAGAAAAAGAAACAAGTCAAAAACGTTGTAAAAAAGAAATTAAGTGTTTAATCTTGTTTCACCTCGTTCAAAAACCATTTTTTCCTCAATGCAACGTGTTTGTCTCCTTACTTTTTCCCGTCATTTTGAGTTCTTTGAGGTTCTTGTTCTTAGTACCGAATTTATAGTATGTCTAATTTGGTACTTTATCATATTTTTGTTCTTCCTGAAGTTGCTTGAGAGAATTGAAACTAAAGCTAGTTTTCCTTCATTTTGTATATAGTTGAAATCAATCATTTGTAGTAGAAGCAGAGAGATCCATTGTTTTTTAATTTTATTTTTTATTACTGATGTATTCATAGTGTTTTTTTTTCTTTTGAGAAAATAAATCTTGTAAAAAATCATAGTCTCTTTATTTCTGAAAACAATCATTGCTTTTCAATTTAATATAACCACTGCGCCATTAAAAAACTGTTACAGTAACTTTATATTTTCTTATGACAATTCGCTGTATTTAACTGCCCTAAATCTGTTTTAAGGTGGCAATGTCTCTCTTTTAGAAAGAAGCTTTGGAGAGAAAAAAAATTTTTTAAGTCCTAATAATTTTTTGACAAATTTACCATCTCATTATTGGGTTATAAGAAAAAATTTGGGGACAAAGTTTGAAAAAGTAATTTAGTGGATAATCCCACAATTTATAAGTTAAAAATTCTATGATTACTGTAATGTTGATTGGTATTCATAATTTTTTTAAATCAGACGGAAGAGATAATCAATAATTGTGAAACTTACAAAATTCCAAGCCACAGGAATTGCTACTGCATTTGTCAAAATAATACATATGCCTATGACTTCTAAATTCAGAATTCTAAAAATTTGACTAAGTGAAACTGTTAATCGAGATCCTTTATCACAAAATGACTGAATTTTCAAAAAAATTGAAGCAATGAATCCTGCGGGTAAGGCTATAATGCTGCCGTGCAATTGAAGAAACAACGTAAGTGCTTCACGATAGATTCCGAGAAAAATAGCTTGGCAACTTTTTTCTCTCTAATGCTAATGCTATGAACGCTAAAATTGAATTTTAGAAAACTGATAAAACAAAATTTTTTTTTGAGAAAAAAAAAAATGCTTTTGTAACATATAGTTTATCATACTGCGATGCCAAATATATACAAATCTCAATTTTGAATTTCTTGTCGCTTACGTTGATTTTCTAGAATAGAGACGAAATATTTTTTAATCAGGAAAATTTGGACTGTTACGAACTCTGCTAAGTAAACGTTTCTTACACCGTCAAAAGAGTTTGGATACGCTGCCATGATCAAACTCAGGTTTTACGAGCAGCGGGACGAAGCTAATTGCGGGCCCCATCCTCAAAGTACAAAAAGTCTTATTTTCATATTTTGACCCTTTATTCACCCTTTATTCAAAATTGTAGTTCTTATACAATGTAATTGCCATCAATTTCCTTTCTAAAAAACCCAATATCTTTAGAAAGAAAATTTGACCGAGGTCTGTTACAATTGTAGCAGCATCCGGTACCCTAAAGCCATACTCAAGGACTTCCCGTGTGAATGAGACAAGAAAAAGACAGAGAAAGAAAGCTCGCGGTGTACACGGTTGGACATCTTCAATATCAAAAAGAGAATCCATTGGCAATTCAATCGATATTTGTATGAGCTGTTACCAAAGAGAGAAAAATAAATCGAGAAACCGCTCGTTTAATTGTTTAAAAAAATAAACAATAAGTGCATAGACTTTGGCCTTACAACTAAATGAAAGCAGCACATAAGTTAGCAACCGAAAACGAGTGCGCACAAGACTCTTCAATAGATGTTAAGAAAGCAGGTGATCGATTGTTTTCACACATAAGAATAATAGCCATGAATGGCCAGCGTAATGGTTAGAGAGGAGATTCGTGAAAGCGGGAAAACGTAAATTGTTTTTGTTGACTAAGAATTAAAAATTATCAACAGAAATGCTATGCGTAAATTAAATTGTTGGATTCTGTTTCGGCACACTGGAGCTAAAAAGAATTCAAGAATGGCACTCGCACATTTTCCTGACGTTATCGCATCACGGAAAATGGCCAACATATTCCCCAGACTTTAAATCGAATGGATTTTCCGTTTAGTCCATATTGGATACAAGGATATTTGCTAAACCATATGAGATCGAGGCATTCCTAAAATGGTTTACTCAGGGAACGGACGAGATATCAATTAGTGAGTTGTGGTTCATAGCAGAAAAAAACGCACGAATTTCATAAATTTTTAATAATTTTTTTACTGTAAGTTATTATATAGAGACCATTTATTTTCACACGGATGAACGCCTTGCAAAAAGCATTTAAAAAAATATTTCTTTTAAGGGATAAAATTGTACCAGATGTTGTTCACTACTATGCTGCACACTGGGTCTCATGAAGTTAATATGTACATTTTTATTACTTGTATTTTTTAATCTCTTGAAGTTGTACGTCTGTTTCTAGCCACCAGTTTTTATGAAGTATCACCAAAATGCGACTGAAAAGAGTAAATTTACTAACAATTTAAAAAAAATTATGTAAAATATAATTTTCATAATTATAATGTAATAAATAAAGGACCATACATAAGATAGTGTGAAAGTTATAACGCAAAAATATATCAAAGAATATTTTTTATTAAACATTCTAATGATGACATAATCAGATATTATGAGCAGAATGACATGTTTAATAACAATTTAATAATTTTTTAATGGCATAAGATATTCACAGACTAGTTATCATTGAAAGAAAAAGCATTATATATTGAAAAATAATGCCACTCAATGTGATGCCACAATCATCACACATAAAATATTTCATAGAATTATATAACAGAAGGCACAGTAGTATTGTTTAAAGAAAACTGTACAACATTGATAATTAGTATAAATTTATTTCAATAACTCATTGTGATAATTTTTTTTTTATGTAAAAATTTAAACAAGAATTATTATACACATTATAATATACAAATTTTTTAGGTAATTCATTATTTACACGAATTCATCTTATATACAAAATTCGATCAGAAACCATTTCATCAACTACTTTGTACAACTCTTTGATGTGTTGACAAAATATCAAATCAAGAGAGGTACTTGAAATTGATAATTCTTTGATATCCCCCGCACAACTGTCAATAAGATTGTTTCTCATTGAAAAGTAACAGTTATAATTTTATTTAGAAGTTAAAGAAGAGTGTATAAAAATATCAACTTAAAATTAAAAAACATCTAATTTCAAAATAAAAATTCTAAGAAAATTTAAATGATGAATTACTAAATATTTCTCTTTAATTTAATAATCTAATTGAGCATGTCTGCATATTTAATTTTATTTTAACTAATTTGCTTTGTTTTATAATATATCGGTACATGTTAATTTTTGCAGCATGCAAACATTTTTTATGCAATGCAACACAAGTAACTGATTGTAAACATTATTCAATATTTTTTTAAATTAAATATTGCATTGGAAGATAAGATAAAAACATAAAAAAATTGAATGATTAAAAATAATCCAATAAAAATAAAAAAGGCCTCCATAAAACATTTACATCTAATTTTATTTTAATTTTGCAATTTGATTGTTTTTCAAATGTATTGAAAATGTTAACTTGTGCTAAATGCAAACGTTTAAATTTTTTTTACGGCAATGTAATTCATTTTACTTATCTTCTGATAATATTTTTTATTAAATATTGCATCAAAAATTTAACTGACACATTAAGAAAATAAATGTTTTAAGAATGTTCCAATATAAATAAATAAGGCCTCTACAAATCAAAATATAAATATGTATATATAGTAATGTGTGAGAAAAATTACCAACAATATTTAGAAATGACAAACTTCTTTGTTTCTATTTAATTATTATATAGCATTAAAGATTTAACACACACACACATTATATATATATATATATANTATATATATATATATATATATGGAAAAAATGGTCATATTTCCCACAATTTTCAGACATGATAAACTTTTTTAAATATTGCATTGAAAGATTTTACTAAGACATTCTGAAGGAGAATGTTCAAATATAAATAAACAGGGCCTCCATAAAATAAAAAGTAAAAAAACAATTCATAGTATGAAAAAAATGGCTATCTTCTCATCAGTATTTAGACATCACAGTTTTGTCTCAGAAATACATCCTTATAGCTAATTAATTAACACAATTTTAAGTTACATCTATTAATAACGAATGATAAATCTAAATACTTTTTTTAAAAGCAATCTTTAAACAGACGTGCCAACCTAGNAACTCAAAATTCGGGAGACTCCCGCAAAATGCGGGAGAGTTGGCACGTCTGTTTAAAATATCTCATAAAACTTTTAAATGTTTCATAAAAAAGTTATATCCAAACAAACAATAAGTGATTAACGAACATTAAAAATAGATTATTTAACAAAAATATTACTCTAGAATGAGAAAAGTCTTTACTTATTCAGTTAAGTCACAGTCAGCTTTGATAAGAAGGCAATTTTGTAATTTGCTTCTGATTTGACAAGTTTTTTTTTTATTAGTTAAACTTTTATGAAATGATAAGGAAATGTAAGTCCTATAAATAGCATATTAATACTACATAGAATGAGTAAATTTTGATTTATGTTACACAACTGTAGATAGAAATAAAATATGACATATGTCCAACACCATCACTTCAAAAGTATGTATTATCAATACTTGAAATGTGGTGTAATTGTGAAAAGTTATGTATATGAGAATATTTAACACTCAATCTTAAATAAATTCTATATATGAAATTATTTACACCAGCAAATAAAATATATGACACTAAAGAGTGGTGAATGCTAATCCTTTTTTTTTTTTTTTTGTCGCCAGAATCACAAACTATAGTAATTCAAGAGTCACCTTGTTCTTTGAATTAGGTTCACAATTACTATCAGAAGTAAATAGTTTATAACAGAAGTCTAAAGATAATTTATCATGTCAATTAAATAACCATTCTATCTATATTAACATCTTTTAATATTTTAACTTTAATCCTAAATCTGAAGACAAGAAAACTCTTGAGTCAATTACTCAGAGAAACTTTTTTAAAGTAAAAGCAAGTCACTTTGTTTCCTGGGAAGTAAACCACAAAAATTTCATGCTGTCAACACAAAAAGCAATTAAGAGTTTAATTCATCTGTAATCTATACAATTGATTACAACAAAATTTGTGTGACAACACAAATTTTCAACAAGAAAAAAATTCTTACTATTCATTTAAAGGGACACTTAAAAGAAGCCTTTCTGAGAACTTAATTATAAAAAAAATGTCATTCTTTTTAACCCCAAGTTATATTACTTTTAAATTACAAACTTTTAAATGAAGGTTATGAACTATAGTTAAGAGTTTAGAATCTGGATAAAAGACAATTTCCAGGAAAGTTTTTTTTTTTTTAAAAAAAATGTTAACTGCTGTGTGGAAATTATAAAGACAAATAGATCAAACAAATCAATGATTTTCACTTGTTCAATATTAATTTTCAACTGAATGTACCTCTTCTTCACTTTATTCCAAAAATTTCCCTAATTTTAAGCTTTTCATTCATGAGTAATTTCTCAAAGGTACTCTATACATCCAATTAAGAATTTAAAATACAAATTAAAATTATCCATACTAAATACGAGTAAGCTGCTAAAATAGAAGTATTTTACCCATAGTAAAATACTGAAAAAAGGCACTGTTTAATATAACAATTGAAAATTCTAGCAAAAGAAGAGTACAGTTTTTATTCCATCCACACATAAAACAAGTATTTCCACAGTTGACAAAAAAACGATATTTCATCTGAAACAGTTTCAAACAGACAGTGAAATAATTTTCAGTTGGGTCAATAACTTTTATTAAAATTAGTGATCAAACTAATATTTCCAATAAAACAATCATTATCTAGAGTAAAAAGGACTAGATCTATTTACTAATTTATTTATTTTTTTGCATAATTAAGAATTTAGTGACACAACTTAGCTTTTTCCTTATAGGTATAATCACATCCATAGAAAAAGTTAAATGTTTTATGACAATAAAAAAGCTGCACCAGGCATAACCTATTTTGGTTATAAAAGCTTCATTTGTTGCGATTACTTGAGCATCTCTGCATGCCTTCATGACAAAAATTGCGGTCACATCTTGTGGAAACTCAAAAGGATTTGGTGGCTAAGAATAACCATACGACGGCAAAGGGGTTAAACTAGACCAGATAGTCAAGGTTGAAGTAAGTTTACTAGTGATGTTTGACTAGCAAACATTATTGTCGGTAATAAGCTTCCAAAGCAATATAAGATTTAACTAGGATAAAATTTTTAACAGGATAAAATTAAAAATATAATAATTTTTCGAAAATTTTAACATTACGAATACATAGAATAAACAACGAGAGAAAAAATGTCAAGAGAAAACAGATCCTTGGCACAAATATTAAAAACAATAACAACTGATAGAACCTTTGTGAGAAGGCCATTATGAGTGTCATACAGTATTCATCGATAGTGCACGAATATTTAAATAATATTCCACTTAATATTATACTAATCAGGTACTGATAAACAAAGATGTATCAGGACAAACTTTCTTAAATGAAACAAGATCAATAAAAACAGAGTACCTGTATCAGTTAAGGCTAATTCATACTGAATACAATTCACATACTATTATTGATTACTGGATATAGTAATAAATCAAGATTTTTTTTCTGGTCACACAGGTTCGATAAATATTTAGGACCCAGATACATCTTCTACCTGCTTAAACAAATCTTCACTTTTCACAACTTTGCACAAAAGGGAAAACACGATATCCTAAAAGCTCTTTTCCCGATTCAAAATTCAGGATAAGACACACTTTTTTTTCAAGCAACATCAAAAGTCACACTTTTCACTAAATATCAAAATGAAAGTTAAGACTTTCATAGCTTAAAGTCTAACTTTTAACAAGGACTAAAACTGACGTTTCACAAGCTACGACATAAAATCCATGTGCTCAGGAGTCATGCTGTCGCGAGACGAGAGCATGGGGTCACCCGTAACGGGCTGATCGTCTTCCATCATCAAGTCCTCGAAAGGACTGTAGGAGGGAGCAGGACTCGAGGCGTAACAGGTCGCAGGACTTTGACTACACGAGGAGGAGGAAGTATGAGATTGGGACTCTTTTTTGACATTTAGGAATTGTATGTTGGGAACTCTCCTGCGAGTGCCATTGGGGTCGCTGTGCGGGAAGCGCAAAGCTAGTGGGTCAAAGTTCTGAAAGTCACTGCTGCAATGTTCTGGCAGAGGTGCCAGATTTGGTTGACTACTTATAAAGTACTTTTCGTTGGAGGAATGGGTGAGGGGTGAGTAGGGAATGGGTTCTTGTTTAATGAGTGACTGTATCTCTTCTTCCGTTGATGGGTACCAGGTTGATTTCTGGATGGGTATATTGTTGGCTTTCAACTGAAGTTCTAAGTTCTAGAAAAATAAATAGAAAAAAAAATCAAGTAGCAGAATAAGATAGATATATACAGTTAAAAAACAGAACAAGTTGAAAATGAGTTACGATTTCACACACTACCACAACATTTAATTTTTAAATACAATCAAATCAATGTTATAATTAGCGCACATAGAAAAAGAAAACTAACATATTTATACAATATGATTCTTTATTTTCAACAATTTTGAAATAAACAGTAAAATAATTCAACTTTTGTAATTCTGAAATTGTTAATGAAAGTAAAAAAGTAGAGCTAATGAATTAAGTAAAAAATATATACAAAATAAATTTTGTACATATTTTTTACTTAATGTGATCTATATTTTTTTCAATTTTCTTGAGTGCTCCTCACACTATTGTGTTGATATATTTTGCTTAGGCTATATTGATACAATATTAGAAAGCACTCCTTTTTGTGGATATAATCGTGTAAGCTGATGAAGAGATTATATCTCTTCATTATTTTGTTTTATGGTTTTTAATTTTTTTTTAAATAATTTATTTTTAAAATATTTTTTAGAAATACCTTTTCTTTTTCTTATCTTTTCATCAATCTTTATTATTTTCAATCTCTCTCTTTCTATATATATATATATATATATATATNATATATATATATATTTACAAAATCTAATTTATAAAGCATATATTGAAAAATATCAATTTTAACTATATGTTGAAACATAAAATTTTACAAATTCTACACTTCAAAATAAGAAGATTATCTTCATCCTGAACATAAATAAAGCAACCAGAAACACAGCTCCTTTATTAGTCGTGTTTACTGAATATTCTTTGCTTTGTTAATTTTGTGACTTTATTTGTGCAAATGTATGCTTAAAAAATATTACGAATGTTCAAAAACTAGAACCCTAATTTATTTTATAAATCTCCCTTTAGATCCAATTCACAAATATCACATTATGCAAGTTAAGAATTTTTTATAATTTCAGAAGAAAGAAATGTTCTGCTCTCCTTATAATCGAAAATGAATAACGATATTAACAAATTTTCCCAATTCAGAAAAAACAAGCCATATCTTAAAAATGAAACAGTGATAAAATCATCACAAAACACATAATACTCACATATGATATTACTTAGGAAGAATCTTTCATCATTCAAAAATAAAATTGTTATATCTTTGGACTCTGAGGCATTGTAGAAGTTTAAACACAAAAACAAATATTCGGAAAGCCTGATTACATGATGATTTTTATGAACTTTCTTGGGTTTTCATTCATGGATTATTATTAAATCTTTTCTCATTTATATTGATCAACAGTAGTAAAAATTACTTAAGTTAAGATTCAAAATAACATTCTTAATACATTGCAACGGAATGTACCATAAATTTCACCCTGATAAAAAAAAAACTAAGATTTATAAAATTTTAAAATTTTTTTCACATGAAATAAAGTTATTTTATGACCACATAATGAATAATAATAACAACAATAATGAAGAAATAAACTTACATGAATATGCAAGAGTAATTTTTTATTTGTTTGCTCGACAACTCGCAAACGCATTTCTAAGTCAGGGATTTTTTGTACTTCCTTTTTCAGACATCGTACATAATCTACGGAAGCTTTCAGGATTGTCCCTTTATTTTGTCGAATATCTTTCACCAATTCATAATACCTAATAAAAATATACATTGAAATAAAGACAAATTAACAATTGAAGAACTAACATTCAGATGTCCAAAACATGACTAAAAATTTTGAAAAACCGATTAAAGAATAGTCGGGGAATATGGCTCTACTTCAAAAAAGTTTTTATGTTCAACAAATTTAGTCACAGTAATTAGTACCTGCTATGTTTGTCATAGATCATGCTACTGATTGAGAAAAAATCAGTTAGATCATTTCAACAGAAATATTTGAAAGGGCATCAGATTAAAAATGTGATGTGGTCTAAGCCACATTCCATTTTGATACAAAATACTGATTTATAGTTTTTTTCAGTTAACAATTTCTTCTCTTGATGAATTTGTTACTAAATTTGAGATGAAAAAAAAAATATTTGGCTTCTTAAGCAGAACACAGCATTTCTATCCCAATCAGAATTACTTTAACTGATTTTTCAAAACTCAGGCATTTTTAGCACTGACAATCCATTGATGAATAATAAAATTTAATAAATTGCATTCATAACTATGTGTTCAATAAAATAAGTATAAGTATGAACATTAAAAATAAACTTTCATTTTTTTTCCATGTAAGCTAGAGAAATTCTTACACTAAGATAAATAAACATTAAAATCAAACATCAAGGCACAGCTGCAAACTTAATTTTCAATGAAAATAAATTTTTGAAAGAAATGAATGATCAAATTAAATACATTTTTATAAGAAGTAGTATGATTTTGCAAGTTTTAAATCATACTTTACAAAATAACTTGCTTAATAACAAATTTCATGGAAAAAATGGAATCTTAATTTTTTTTTTAAAAAAAGGAAAACTTTCTAACACAAGTTTAATTTTTAGAAAAGTTTATTTCAAACTTTAAATTTAATATTTTTTATTTCATAAACAAAATAATTTTTTTTTTAATTATTAATATGAAATAAAGATACGAACACTGTAATTATTGTATTATGATAGAAAAATTAAGATTAAACACAAAGAACAAAAAATAAACACTGCTTGATAACATTGGAAAATGTTAAAATGAATGGGAAATAATATATTCATTTTAAATAAAATTGTCAATATGGCAAAATTGACAACTAGAAATAAATTTTTACTATTTTTAGATTACTTGTCTATTATAAACATTATCAACCAACATATCATTTTTTCCCTCATATTATTCATTTTTTCATCGTATTACTTGAAACAGTAAGAAGAATAAGCAAGTTTTATTTAAAGAATAAACAAGATTCAAATTTACACTTCACCATTAGGGAGATTGACAAAAAAGAAATAATTAAACAAACAAATAAATTAAAGTATACCTAAAATATACTAACTTATCATTGCAGCCTGGTAGCAATGTGCTGAGCTCTTTTATACGGTCATTTATATTAAATCTTCTTTTCCTTTCAACTAAAAAATTTTTACAAATAATTTCAGATGAAGGACTTAAAACAGATACATATTCCAGCATTTCAAATAACAAAAATTATAAAATAATAGGATGAAATGTATCTGTTAAATTTTATATATATATACAGTGGTGGCCAAAAGTGTGGACACTTTTTGAAAGTTTCATGTTTTTCAACTTTGTGTGCTTGTAGAATATATTAATTTTNGTGATAGTTGTTTAAAATGATTATTAGAAAAATGCATAATGTATTTGATTATTTTTTGAATCTCAAAAAATTATATATTCTGTTTAAAATATTAAATTTTACAATGTAGCTTTTATTACGCCCAACAATATAAATTCTATTATCTCAGAAAAATATTATAAAAGAAATACTTTTAAATTCTTAACTACATAATTTTCAATTAAGCCAATAATATATATACAAATTCTATTCTTTATAAAAAAATTAAAAAAGAGAGAATAACCTTATTTCTAAATCTATTTATATTTCAATTAAAGCAGTAATATTTTTTCCCTTTAAGTATTAATAGGAAAGAAAGAATGCTCATAATTTTTTTTCTTCAATTGAACTACTAATATATTAATGTTGTCCAATCTAAATGGGATACCTGCAAGTGATGTAGTGTGGGTATATCGATCCTGATTGGTTTTTGAAAAGCAACTGTTATGTTAGCAACTGAAAAGCAACTGTTATGTTAGCAACTGAAAAGCAACTGTTTGAATGTTAGCAACTGTTCTTTCCATTCCATTTTGAGTAAGACAAGCATGCCAAGTATCAATTTTCTTCAGTGACACATTCTATATTCCTAAACAAAGATTCTTTCATAAACATTTTAATTCTTTCATTATATATCTCTTACTTAGCACAAATACAGGCAAGAAGCCCAAGGAGAAGAACTAATGATGCAGCATCAAAGTTGCAGGGTACACAAAACAAAAATATATCACGGTTTCAATAAAATACATTTAAAAAAATCTAAGTTAAGTAAAAGACGTAGACAAGAAGGAATCATATTTCAACAAATTCTACGTGCGATAAGGAGCTGTATTTAATCAACTTCACATTAATTAACATTCCAGTTTACATAAAGAAACTTAGCCTAAATTTAACACGCCATTTTGCTTATAAACCATTAGCTGGAGCTGATGTCATAGGTAACACGTGTGGGTATTGTATTCTGATCTTCTTCGTCTTGAAGTATAAGTACCTAATAGTGGCAGTGTAATGTGCCAGTACTGTACTACAATCATTAATTAGAGATGAATCCCAGACTATAGCCAAAAGCCTAATAGTATAGGTCATGTCAAACATTAACAACCAGAAGATAACTCACTTCTGTTGTGGTTGTCTTTTTTCTGTCTATCTTTCTGAATTGCTTGGACTTTTTCTTCTGTAAGTAATTCTCCATCACTGATAACTTCAGCCAATTCTGCTGGGCAAGATGTGGACACAGGATCAAGTGGCAACATAGTGGACAGCATATCTAGTAAGGCAGGATCAGCTGGCTGCAGTAAAAAATTGCAATTAAGTAAAATCCAATTTTTTGCTTAAAGGTTTCAATTCATAACTGCAGAAAATTAATAAATTTTTGGAAAATTATTAAAGAACATTTAGTAAAAAGATAGTAATTTTGAATTCATATCTTATTTTAATTATCATCCAACTTTCACACAATTCATAAATTTCCAGTGATAGATAATATTAAGTTTTAACAGAAGACTAGTTTTAACTATTAAAATAACAAGAGTCGTAACATTTTTTTTATAAAACAAATAAATTGAAATGCATACAAAAAATTTGCTTCATTCAAATGCCTCCATTACAAACATTTAACCAAAACATTGTTCCTATAACTTTTGAAACAAAATCAATTCAAAAATGTGGAATGTATCTCATAATTCAATTGATTTTATATACAAACAATTTTTGCTAATACAGTGAAACCTCTCTCGATTCCACAGTAAAATGGTTCTTGATGGACATTGGATCATTTATAGAGGATTATAGGAATTCCTAAATACGTTATAGGAATTCCTAATTTACTGATGCTTAAGCATGATCTTAGAAATCAATTATTCTGAATCAATTTAAAGCACAACTAGGAAAAAACATAATTGAAATACTGAAATAATTTTGCAGCAACTTCAAAAAGAAAAAAAAAAGAGTCTGGTTTTAAAGTAAATAGGGTGCAGTAATTACACTGGAAAAATTAGTAACATTTTATCTATTTATGGAATAAATGTCAGTAAGAAAAAGTAAAAATAAATTTCAAGCTCGAAAAAAAAATGAAAAAGGGATGCAAATTTGAGTCAAAAAAATTATTAATAGCACGGTTAATCGGTACAATAAAAATTAAAACAAGTATGAAGATACTTATTTTTGTATAATAAATACAACTATCTGTGCTTTCATTCAGTTTCAAACTTTATTTCAAACTGATAAATATTATTGTTTTATTAAATTATAATTAAAAACACATAGGAAAATTTTGCTTTATGTCCAAACTACTTAGCATTTATAAACATTATTGATAATTAGAACTTGTTCCTGTTACATTTTGATGCATTTTAAAAGAAGTTCAACACCTCAAAAACAACCTTAAAAAATTTTTTTTTGTATTGTTAATAATCGATGCATGCAAAAAAATAAAAATAACTAAATTATTTAAATTTCTGTATACTAAGTTTTATTTTGAGAAATAGTATGAGACCGAAAAACATCTTTAAATTTTACCATTATAGAACTAATAGTAGTGATTGTTTTCATCACTATTAAATTTATCAGTTATTGTGCTTTCTTACAATATTTGTCATGTGATACATAATGTCATAACATATTAATTATATTATTTACTTATATTAATTATATTATTTTACTGAATACTGATTTCAAAATACTGATTAATAAAATAAATAGACCACATGTATGCTAATTTTAAACAATAATATATAAATTGTTAAAAAGTGGATTAAAATCGTTTTTTTTTTTCTTCTTTCCTTTAATGAAAGCTGGTCTTTTTCATAAAAAGGCTAGCTTTTTCTTAAACCCTATTAAAACTGCTTGATTTATACTATCTGTAGAAAATATTTAAAGTCTGAAAACGTTAATGTTCAAAATGATGGAATTAAATTGAATAAAAATTTAATAGTTAATATAAAAAAATATTTACTCCAGTTAGAACTATTTTTATTATTGTTTACCGTACTATAGATATTATGCCTGTATAGGGTGGTAAAACACTTCCATAATTTTTTTTTATAAAATTACTGATGCACTTAGCTGTTTTATAACTTACTAACTGCTGATATAAAATAATTAAATACCGAAAAATCATATTTATCTTTAAAATTTTTTTAGTTATTTAGGAAATGCATCGATCATAGAATCATTAACACCGTTGAAGTTAAGGCATAAAATTAAAAATTAATTTCCAAAATTTAAGAATAAGAGAAACACAGCCTTACTATATTAAAAATCATAATTTAGTAACATAAAACAAATGTAATGGTAAAAATAATGATTTAAAGCATAGTATTATAAGGTTATAAAATATAAACTATTTGAAATTATTATGTATTAGAGAACTAATAGATAAAATTAGAGTATAAAACTGCATGTATTTAATCCAAACATTTATTAAAAATATGCATTTTAAAATACTTTTGCCAATTAAATTAAAAATTAAATTGCTAATTAAATATACGTTTCCTTTCTTTAATTTTTATAAACATTATTATTATAAAAATGAAACCAAACATAAATATTCTTTTTAAAACAATAAACACAACTTTTTATTTCTTAAAACTACTTCAAAAATCAAGCTTCTTTTTAATTGAAATATTCAATTTTATGATGTTTTCTTATTCTTTTAAAGATTTCAGTTATTAAAATAATATATTTATCTTCTTCAACTTATACTGAACCCATAGGTTCTGTAATATCTGACAATAATTATTTTTACAATCACGCTGTAATTTTAAAATATCTACGAAAAAATAATAAATAAATGGTAAAACAGGACATCAAAATGAAATGTAAAAAACATAATCAAATATTAACATTACTCACTGCTGCAACAGGAACTGTAAGACTAGGATCTAAGAAATTATCAGCAACTGAATCTGTACAAGATCTATTATAGGACTCAAAGTCATTCCAAAATTCATCCAACTGAAAAGTAAAACATCATCAAACAACTTTTCTTTTAAAATAATATTTTATAACAAAATCATACTAATTTTTAAGCAATTAAAAGTGAAAATTTCAATCATACACAAGCAGGGTTCGTTGATTTAAATCAGCTTGATTTAAATCAAGATTTAAATCATGATTTAAATCAAGATTTAAATCATGATTTAAATCAAATGATTTTTTTAAAAAAAATCATTGATTTAAATCAACTAATTTTTTTTATCTATATATATTGATTTTAAAAGTTAAAAAACAGCGTTTTAAATTTTTGATACTTTTACTGTTTTCTTTTCTTAGTATTAAAATTTAATTTAAATAAATTGCTGCATTAATTAATTTAAATTAACGAAATTACTTTCTTGGTTTGTGTTAAATTCCAACACATTTGAAATTACATTTTTAAAAATCTTTTGATTCTTGAGATTGAAAGTACAGATTAAAGTAAACATTTAATGCTGTCTTAATATAGACTTGCATAGCTGTAGAAAGTAATTAATAAACATGAATTTTTTTCAAAAAATAANTTGGAGCTCGCAACTTTGGAATTTCTTGGCTCAAGTTCAAACGTCAGTAGCATCGATTGAAAAAAAAAAAAAAAAAAAAAAAAAAAAAAAAAAAAAAAAAAAAAAAATTTTTTTTTTTTTTTTTTTTTTTTTTTTTTTTTTTTTTTTTTTTTTTGTAAACATTACATTAACATAACTAACATACTGAGATTCTGCTTTTGATAAAACTATTTTTAACAAAATACAATGATAAGTTTCAACATGAGTTCAAATTTAGGACTTTCAATCACATTTTTCTGCAAAACCTATTTATTATGAAAATATATTTTACATTTCATTAAAAATATATATATTTATCGCGAAGATAGGAGGACAGCAAAGAGAATTCAGAAATTTTTTAAAAAGTGCTTTTGAAAATACATCATAACAATGTGAAAAACAGAATTTTGCCCAGTTAAAAGTTTTTTTTAAAATTAAAATTTCAAATTTTAATTTAAGAAACATAGTTTTCAAATTTCAATTTTTTAAAATTAAAATTGCAAATTTCAATTTAAAAACAACATTTTATTTTTGGTTGAGTGGTTTTTAATATTAAAAAAAAGTATAAGCTATCTCTAAAAGTACCCGAGAATACACAAATAACACCTTCATCTCACATTATTAATTTTTTTAAAACACAAAAGATATATAAAAAGCATAAGAGAATATAAAAGTAGTGAGAAGATTAGAACAAATTCATTTATCAAACATATAAGTACACCTAAAAGAAGTTCAATAGTGAAAAATAAAAATCTATCCCCAAATTAAAAGAAAACTAACTCATATAAAAGGCAATTTACAAATTGTAACAAAACAAAAGAAAATAAGGGTACATTGAATAAAAAAATTTGATTAAAGGACTTAGCACTGTATTTTAAAAATTCATTTTGGGTCCTGGGCCCTAATAGTTGCCAGGCTGCTTTGGCACCAAAGAAACAAAGAACTTGAGAAACTAAAAAGGCATTGCAAGATAATAAATTCCAAAGGCAATTTCCTAATCAAACAAGTAAGTAATTTTTTTAATTTCTTACAAGTACAAAAAAATTGCACTCGACTGATTATATTTGGCACCATCAAGATTCAAGACAGCAATGTCCTTAATAAGCTCACACGATCAAATATTTTGATACGAAGCTAACTGTCCAGCTAATGAAAAAGAGCTCTTTGTGCATTAGGAACTAAAAGTACAGTGCAAAAAAAAAGGTTCAAAAATGTCAGATATTTAAAATTCAATTTCTCAGGAACTATTTGACCGATTTTGCTCAAATTTTGTATTTTGCTGAAATTTTTTATTTTGCCATCTAAAATCACATTCTCTAAAATAATGCAAAAAATTGTATACCTTACAATTCAAAATTTTTTCGACCATTGCTAAATAAAATAGTAATCAGGGATGAGATTAGCCAAAAGGCAAAAAAGCTGAATTTCCACGATAGTAAATTTTACGCAAGCGNTTTGATTCAACATTTATAATTTTTTTTAATCATAAATTAAAGTTCTTACAGTGTATTTGAGTAAAAATAAAAAAAAATCTGATTCTTTTGATTTTTTTTAAAAAATCAAAAAAATTACGAGCCCTGTACACAAGCATGAAAGTGCTTTTTAACCACAAAGCTAATCTTGAGAAATTTATTTTCATTCTTCTTAATTTTTTTTTTATTTATTTATTTATTTATTTGCAAACAATTTAAGTAACAGATATGTTTCTAATACATTATTAATTACATATTGAAATAAAGTTACTTTTTATTTAAAAAATGTTATGAAAAATAGTGTGTTGAGAACTTTATTTCTTTAACAGGAAAAACACATAATATCAAAAGGTCTGCAACAAAAACTTACCAACCAGTAATATCTGAAAAATGCTATATAAGCATACTAACATTCCATTCTGCTGACATACTGACTAACATACTAACAAACATTATAATAACTAACATACTGAGATTCTGCTTTTGATAAAATTATTTTTAACAAAATACTATGATAAGCTTCAACATGAGTTCAAATTTAGGAACTTACAATCACATTTTTCTACAAAACCTATTCATTATGAAAATATTTTTACATTTCATTATGAGCTCTATGATTGAGAGATCATTTCTTTAAATTCTTTACTTAAAAATATATATATTTATCGCGAAGATAGGAGGACAGCAAGGAGAATTCAGAAATTTTTTAAAGCGAATTCAGAAATTTTTTAAAAAGCGCTAGTAAAAATACATCATAAAACAAAATGAAAAACAGAATTTTGCCCAGTTTAAAGTTTTTTTCTTCAAATTTTAATTTAAGAAACATAGTTTGGAAATTTCAATTTTTTCAAATTAAAATTGCAAATTTTAATTTAAACAACACTTTACTTTCGGTTGGGTGGTTTTTAATATTAAAAAAAAAGTATAACTTATCTTTAAAAGTACTAGAGAATACACAAATAACACTTTCAATCACATATTTATACATTTTAAAAAACAAAAGAAATATAAAAAGCATAAGAGAATATAAAAATAGTGAGAAGATTATAACAAATTCATTTATTAAACATATAAGAACATCTAAAAGAAGTTCAATAGTGAAAAATGAAGATCTATCCCCAAATTAAAAGAAAACTAGCTCATATAAAAGGCAATTTATAAATTGTAACAAAACAAAAGAAAACAAGGGTATATTGAATAAAAAAAATTGATAAAAGGACTTAGACACTGTATTTTAAAAATTCATTTTGGGTCCTGGGCCCTAATAGTTACCAAGTTTTGGCACCAAAGAACTTGAGAAACTAAAAAGGCCTCGCAAGATAATAAACTCTAAAGGCAAAATCAAAGGCAATTGCCTAATCAAACAAGTAATTTTTTAAAATTTCTTACAGGTACAAAAAAATTTCACTCGACCGATTGTATTCGGCACCATCAAGATTCGAGACAGCAATGTCCTTAATAAGCTCACACGATCAAATATTTTGATACCAAGCTAACAATCCAGCTAATGAAAAAGAGCTCTTTGTGCATTAGGAACTATAAGTACAGTGCGCAAAAAAGGTTAAAAAAATGTCAGATATTTAAAATTCAATTTCTCCGGAACTATTTGAACGATTTTGCTCAAATTTTGTATTTTGCCATCTAAAATCATATTCTCTAAAATAATGCAAAAAATTGTATACCTCACAATTCAAAATATTTTCGACCATTGCTAAATAAAATAGTAATAAATATTTACTAAAATTTATTTAACCTTTGGATAAAAGAATTTTATAATAATGTGAAATTTTTTTTTATTAGCTTATAAAGTTTTAGAGATATAGCGAAATACACAGAAAGTAAAATTAACATTAATCGAGTTTTGAGGTTTTTAATTTCTGATTGAAAGACCCTACATTGACCCTACAAATAAATAAATTATACAAAAAATACTCACTTCTGTGGGACTTGGAGCATTACTACTCACAGCAGTAGAAAAGTCACTGACAGGACTTGGTTCAACGCTGTTGGCTATGTGTTGAGTAGGTAGGCTGTTGGATTTCTTCCCATGATGTGACTGGAAAATATACTCCTGAAACTGGCGCTGTTGGCTTTTTTCAACATGATAAGCAGTTGGATTTTCCAGTTTACTCTATACCAAAGAAAAATGTTTGGCTAAAACATGTAACTTTTCATAATGGCAAAGCATACATTTTCTATAAGTAGAAAAAAAAAGTATAAGGGACAAAAATATTGCACTATTAATAAATAGCTAATGTAAAACAAAATATTTATTTAGGAAATTATCCTTTTCAAAACAAGCTCTTCAATTGTTACTTCTAAGACAAGAATATTTAAACTATCATTGCCCTGATCCCAAATTTCACAAATATTTTGTAAATTATTATGGTTTACGGATGGATCAAAGAAAGGTGACCTTTCTGAACTGGGAGTACATGGGGTATCGCCTATTTGATGATCCTGGGAAGCCTGCCACTGTCTTTCAGGCAGAGGTTCTTACCATCATCAACTCTCTGCAGGTAAATATAAGAAAAGGCTACCATAGTGAGCGAATTCTTATTTTCAGGGACAGTCAAGAGACCTTAATTCATTCAAAAATAAGTCAAAAATTGTTATGGAATGTAGAAAATAAACCTTTTAAGAGAACTGGCAACTAGGTATAGGATTATCCTTATCTGGGTGCTAGGCAACATAGGAATTGAAGTCAACAAAAGAGTTGATGAACTTGCAAAACAGGGATCCTCTTTCAATCCAATAGGAAAGGAACTCTTCTGTGGCATCAACATGAGGACTGCAAGGGAAGTCATCCTTAAATGGGAAAAACTGGAAAAGGACAAAGTTTGGCGCAATTCTCCCTGGACAAAAACATGCTTAAAATATGATTATCAGTTCTATCTGCAAAAATCGCTTCTGAAATCCATAGGCTTCCAAAATTGAAGATACTAACAATTGTGACCGTCATCACTGGGCACCATCAAGGACTATTTCAATAAGAACCAATAAGCAGGAAATGCTACAAAAATGTGGAATCAGTGTATCATATTTACAACTTCAGGCACTCTCCCCAACCTAAAGAACTACACCTCAGCTCTATTCAGGTTCTGTCAGATTCTATAAACAAAGTAGGCAACCCAAGAAAATGGAACTAAGAATTGCGTTTGGAGCATTTGGCACAAAATGGTTCGAAAGCAGAGGTGCCTCACATCAGACAAGCCCAAACAAGAAGAAGACGATTCCATTGTCATCGAATGTCTTTCTACTAATAAGAATCATCTTTATTTATTTTGTGCATTTTCTTCTTATAAAGAGTGGTGAGCCAGAAATGTTAGTATGACTCAAGGTGGGGATGCACAAAAAAATCAAATAAACATCTAGAGGCAAATGGGATACCTTGTATTCCTGTCGAGGGAGCTGAACAGGAACACGTGGAGGGATGTAGTGAGGCACTCTAATGGCGATGGATGTTTGTGTGGGTGCAGAGCAGGAGATCTCCCTCTCCTTCTTTTCCCGCTGCAGCATCTCTTCCCGCATCAACTGCTGCTTCAGGTTTGTTCGGCTGATCATGATGGGAAGTTTTATTATGTGTCTGCAAATAGTAAGAAAAATGCATCTTAAGTACAAATAGGATAAATGAAAGATGAAATTGCATAAAGTATTCATACAGATACAAAGATTTATAGTAACCTCCAAACTGTCTGGCTTAGTAAAAATAAAAAGTATTGGAACTGGCTATTTAAAAAAGTCATCGCAAGAGGAGATGAGACATTAAAAAACAACATTAAAAAACTATACAAAAATATGAGAAAAAAAGTTATGTACATTACTTGATAACAAATTAAGCAGAATTAACAAAAGCAGTATATAAACCAAAACACAATCATAGAATGCTGTTAAATCTTCCTATTGTCAAGCTTGGAGCATATGCTTTTACAGTCGGTATCGGCTGCTATTGAGTGATAAGGAATTTATGGCTTGACACCAACGATCTGCGGCATTGTTCAAGGACCATATTGGTTCTTGTGTTTCTGCTGTCGACCTTTTGCTTTGTGTAGGAGTGAGCAAGAATGCCGGTATGAAGTGGAAGTGAGTACCTGATACCACAGATCACTATGCATAACAATGGGGTTTTGAAGCCCTGTGATAGCAATCACGCTCATAAAATAGCAATTGCCAGTTTCTTTGCTTGTATTATTTCTGTTCTTTGAAATGAATAATTGTACATTTTTCATACATTTGAATTTATTTGTATTTGGAGACATGAAAAAATTTTCTTGCGATGACCAGTTAGCGAATTGTTGGCTTATACTGCCAGCATAAGTTTATGTAATTGATCCCATGTATAGTCAACATGTTAAACTTTTTACGTCTTTGTCAAATGCTAACCCGCAATTGTTTCTATGATATATAGTAATGAATATTTTACTAGAAGAATATTATAGAAACATTTTAGTAGAACATTATGTAATATAAACTGCTTATTTGAAGAATTAGTAAAACAAATATTCCTGTGTAAAATGGATGTATTTGCATTTGTTCTAAATTAATATCTGTTACATGATTTTTGAATAGAAAAAAATCATTCTCTTTCCCTAGACTTTAAGAACTTTTTTCAATAGACTTTAAGAAAATCACCAATCCTTTCAAAAGAAAAATAAATAAAGTAAAAACTTCTGCTGCTACTGACTCAATTAAAAAATTTTTCAATACAGGAGTTTTTTTAAAATTAAAAAGCTACACTTCAGATACCAATGAATGCTGGTCTTAAAACTGCCAAATTATAACTGTAGCAAATAATAAATTCATTTAAAAATATATTTTACACAACTTTAACATGTGAGGAAAAATTGTTATAGAACAGTGTTTTAGTTAAGAAAATTAACATTTAATGAAAGAAAAATATATTAAGAATAAGAATTTCCCTTTATAACAGTAGAAATATTAAAGTATATGATACTTTGACCGATAACATAAAAAAGAACTTTCAAAAAATAAAACTGTTAAACTTTTTTTTAATTCATTGTTAAATTTTGAAAACATTGAACACCAACACATTAAGGGTGTTAAATACTGAATGAATTCAGTATTGTCTTATAAAATATCAAATTCTTACAAAAAATATATTAACTTCTAGAAGTAAAACATATGTTCAAGAAATTTTTCGGTACTTTGGGATTATCCTATCAACCATTTTCGTACTTTGGAATTATCCTGTTGATCATTTTCTATTTTTGAAATTTTCCCGTTGACCATTCTCAAAGTTTGGGATCATCCGCTCGACAATTTTCCCCAAACCTGATATTATCGCCAAAAGGTAGCTCTAGAGCCAAAAGACACTAATTTTATTACATTTACTGTGTAATCCTTGACTATGCAAGTAATTTTTTTTCAGCATGTTCAAATAAACTGTTTATAATTATTTTTAATAATATATATAGTTATATTCAAGAATAATTCAATGTCTAATTATAAAAAAAAATAAAGGTTTTTGCTTTGTTTTGATTCTGTCTGTTACATTTTTCTATTACATATTTTCACACTTACATTTTTTTGTTATTATTATTTGATACATTTAATGCGTTTTAGAAAGCTTATTATGGGAATTGCTTCTCATTATTATGGTGCCAAAGGATTTACACGAACGTTGTCAGGTCACCGGGATAATCCCAAGCAAAATAAAGTGATAAATGGACAAAACTTGTAGACTTTATGGTAAAGCTTATATACAGTCTTTTTTAATGGTAATTAATAAAAATATTACACACTATAAAAATAAGAAAAAAAAACTCATTACGCTTTTTGCACAGCAAGTAGTTACCATAGTTAACAAACATAAGCAAATTTAAATATTTTAACAGAAATTCTCTTGTATCATTCTATTCATACATCAGTAGAATAAAAAACGCTTGTTTTTTCATTTATTATAAAAAAATTCATTAATTAAATCAAAAATTTAAAAAGATAGAATATTTGACATTAGCATTTAAAGTTCAACTTATTTATTTAAAAACAAATCCTTGTGCAAAAATTCACTACATTATACTTTTATTAGATAATAGCACTACTTAGTACAAGAAATCATATTCATGATTCTTATTTCACAGCTTTAAAAATTTTTAACGATTATGTAAAGTTTTTGAGCTTGCAAATTTAAAAAAAAAAAAACAAAACAAACAGGTAGAGGTTTGTCCAAGGGTGGCTTCAAGTTCGTTTCCTAACATGATTTTTTTTCTTGCTTTTTTTTTTTTTCTCGTGGGCTGCTGCAAGACTAGGCGATTATTCTGCTGCAGATCACAATACTCAAATCTTCACATGTGTAAGCAATCTTAATATTTTATTTGAATCTCCATTAATGTAATGATACATCAAAACTTGAATCACGATACGGAAACATCACCCTGCCCTTTTATAAAGAAGCTAAAAGTGGGATTATATCCAAATCTGTAACTTTAATGAAAATAAGTTAAATATTAGAAAAACAATTATATTGTGGTTATTACCTCCCCCCACAATATAGTAAATAATTATCTAGTAGAAAAACAATGTTACACTATGCAGTATCTTTTAAATTTAGAAATAGCACGGGCTATATAAGGATTAATGTAACACAGAAACAATATGAAGTCTCTTTAAATTTAAGGGAAAACAAACCTTAGATAATTACAACTCATATAAAATCAATGACAACTGATTCTGTGATACAATATAAGGAAAACAAACATTTAAGTGAGTAATAAGTGTACTTTTCCCCCTTCGATTTGGTAAGAGTTTTAGTTATTTCCCGAAGTAAATGTCGAAGTATGGCGTTTACTGTTGATAAGAAAAATCGTTTTTTCAGTTAATCTGACAACTGATTTATACAAAATAAAGAACATAAATCTGCTGTTTAAAATAAAAATATATCCTTTTTACTGAAAAATCTTACCTCAAACAATATAAAACTTCCGAAACGAACACCAGTGTTTACAACCAAATCATAACAACAAAACTTCAAGGATTACGCAATCTCAGTTCGCAATTAGAACAATCATTTGCGGTTACAGTGAAACACGGCACTCAAAATAAAGGAAAACAATTTTTTCTTAACACTTATCTTTTTCCCCTTAAATGCCGAAGAAGTATGTGAAATAAAATTTTGAGGCATAAAGAAAGATATAACTTGCATGAAACCACTTGAAATTTACGATATTACACAAATCTCGGCACGATTCCAGTAAGAACTTCAACATTTACTTTGAGCTTTCGTTCATTTCAATGATTGGTTCTTTGAAGTCATGTGGCTTTCGCCACCAGAGAGTTTCGTTTTCGTCTTTTCGGTTATTTACTCAGCAGCGCTAAATATCATCTTCTTCTTTCTGAGCATTGTTATTAAAAATTCCTTACCAGATAGTTCAATTTAGTTATAATAGACACATTAATTTATTAACTAAGGACTAATAAATTTAAAAAAAACTGCTCATGTAATGCAGATATTTTTATAAAGGTATAAATCATTTATACACAAATAAATATATTTTAGGAATTTATAATACTCTTAACGAAGCATGCTGGTATTTAACTAAAACTATTCGCTAATAATATTTAGAATTTTAAAATAAAATTTACTGTCATCAAACTAAGAGTGTCATCACTTATTAGTAATAATTTATTTTTTAGTTTCGACAAACGCACACAAGAAAGAAAAAACCTTTTTAATCAAATTTTCTTTTTAAAAAAAGTAAAGTAAATAATGATATTACGCTTTAAAGGTACACATAAAAAATAAAATGGTAAAATAAAAAAATAACAATTAGTTTGTAAAATACATACGTGGAGGAGAATGTAACGTATTTCGTTTTATTCCAGAATTTAAAGAATGTTTTTTCTTCTTTCCCTTTTTAGCAGATGAAATGCTTAAATAACATAATGATAATTCAATTCGTCTTTTGTTAAACGTTCACACTTAAGTGTTTAAAAATCATTTAAAGCACAAATAAAATTAAAATAAATCTAAAACGTATTTACAACTTCGTTGGAAAAAAAATCTGATTAGTATCTTCTTTTACTGTTATTTTTCAATAGCGCATTGAAACTCATACGTCATCCCTTTACATAAATAAACTACAACTTGCCCATTCACATGTTTGCGTAACTGCTATAATTTACATGTACAATGATGTATGATGATGACTATTTTGATATGACTTTTTTAAAGTAACTTTTGCGAACTATATTCTTCAGCCTCATTAAGAACACTTATTAGTTACTATAAAATTTTTGTAATTTTTTCTTTTTTGTAATCTATTATTTACTAAACACTATAAACATTCGATAAACTTTAAAAAATTCCGATAAATTAATTTTAATTTTAAAAAAAATTAAGTCACTATAATCTCAAACTTATATAACTGACAAAGGTGGATCGCATGTAGAGGTCTTGGCCACTAATGGTCTATATAATCTTTGTACGCAAGATAAAGGTAATACGTAGATAGACGGAATGACTCTTCGTTCGTAAAGTTCAATTGAATTTTTTGTATTTTGTATAGTTTTGTATCATCGTAAGATTGATAACTTCTAGCGTTTTCATCCAATTTAACTAGCAACATG